ATATATATATATATATATATTTCAAGATGAAATTAAGCAGTTTTTAAATAAATTACTTGAATTTTCTGGGTATCTGAAGGAATGACTGTGTCTAATGTCCTTGACCTGCCTCTGTTTTGCCGTGTCTCTTAGCTGCTGGTGGCACTTTGTAGGCTGTGTTCTGTGTCTGGGGACCAGGGTCACCTGTCCACCTCAGACACATTCCACGAGCTGGGAATCCTCCCTGGAAGCCCAGCATCCCAGAGAACCAAGATATGAACATTTTCCGTACCTATGGAAAGTTGAGATGGCCGTGTGAGTCATGTGCTTGGCCAGGGGACGTCCTTCCTCCTGACAGCCCCTCTGGCATTCCTGCACACCTCCAACTGCCCCCTGCCCGCATGACCCGCCCCTGGGTGTCTGCTCTGCCCACCCTCCCACCCCCAGAGGGCACTCTTGGCAGGTCACATAGGTGCAGCCCGGCCCCCTTGGTGGCTTCGTGAGGGTCCTCTTCTGCTCTGGTTCTCAGGTCCACCGTCGGTCTCAAGTACCTGCCTCCATTTAGCTGGCCTAGTCCTCCAGGGGGTCTCCTCACTGCTGGGAACAGGGAGCCACGCACGTGGAGAACATGGGACGGGTTGGAACAGCCCCAGCCAAGATCTGAAAGGCCCTGACCACATCCTGCTGGCGCGGCCGCCATTCTGAGGCCCGACCATGGCATGTGTAGGAAGCCTGTCCTGGGGGGGCCTTGACTTTAGCGGCGAGGACCAGCAGTGGAAGAGTGCATTAACCCTTGAGATCCCAGCCTTAACCCTGTCATGACCTAAAATAGCAAGGACATCAAGGCATGCCATGTAGGGACATGGGTGCCAGGACCTCGGGGTGCCCGGCGCCCTGTGCTGCTCACAGCACAGGCACCACGGCACTCCCAACCCCAGCACCAAAGTCAGTAGATGTGTTTTGAAGTTTTCAAGATTTTAAACCTTTTTGGATGTTGGTGACCAAAGTCTGCTTCGCTGTGCATCTGGTCAGTGTACAGACCCAGAAGCCGGGACACGTGCCCTGTGGTTTGGATCTGAGGGTGACCCATGGTCCAGCTTCGGGGGCTACACCTGGGCCGAGCATGGCTCCAGGAGCCCTGAGTAGGAGGATCCTGGCACCCAGACCTGTCCTTGCAGTGAGGTGGTTTCAAAGTTGCATTGACTTGAGGCTTGGGGTGTCATCACCTTATGTCTTAAGCTGAGAGGAAGGGCTGGCTATTGGCACAGCAAGGTTGCGATGGGCTTGGGTGGGTCTGTTTTTGAGCTCTGTGCCGCACCAGTGGGGGTGCAGGAGAGCTGTCTGGACACGTGTGCGGCCTGGTTACATGGAAGCTTCTCTGCTGGTGAGGGGCTGGTGGGCTGGCCTGGGGGCCCATGCTGGGCAGCGTGGAGTTGGCCGTGAGGCAGCCCCAGGTGTGGGCACAGATCAGTGGCCCTGGAGCCCCTGAGCACAGGGCTGGGGATGTGCAGCTGGGCTCGTGTTGGTTGCTGTGTGGCATAAGTGGATTGAAGTACAGACAGGGTGACACTGGTCTGACTGGCATCTTTTGTTCCCTGTAGAAGTCCACTAAGTAAGAACCTTCTCGAGATGCCCCAGCCCTACGTGGCCCAACTGGCCTGCACAGGCGTGTGTGTGGTGGCAGGGATGTCAGAGGCTGTGCTGTGAGGCCAGGTAAACCTGCCTGGCAGCCTTTCTGCCCTGCTCTGCAGGGGGTGGCATAGTGATGCTCTACAGTGGTAGAGGGGTGGCACGGGTGGCACTGGTGGCAGGCGGCTTGCACTGAGCATGCCAGACACCATCACTGCCCTCGACACAGGCGGGGCCCTGCGAGGGCCAGGCCAAGGAAGCGCTGGGACCAGCAGGGTCTGTGCCCTGAGGGTCAGGGGTTCCAGCAATCCTCAGGGGCTTTTTTTTTCTCATTATTATTATTTTTATTCATTTCGTTATCATTAATCTACAATTACATGAAGAACATTATGTTTACTAGACTCCCCTCTTCACCAAGTCCCCCCCACAAATCCCATTACAGTCACTGTCCATCAGTGTAGTAAGATGCTGTAGAGTCACTATTTGTCTTCCCTGTGTTGCACAGCCCTCCCCGTGCCCCCCCACATTATACATGCTAATCATAAGGCCCCCCTTTCTTTTTCCCCACCCTTATCCCTCCCTTCCCACCCATCCTCCCCAGTCCCTTTCCCTTTGGTAACTGTTAGTCCATTCTTGGGTTCTGTGATTCTGCTGCTGTTTTGTTCCTTCAGTTTTCCTTTGT